AAGGCAGTGTCACACGGCGGTGGTGCGCGACGGCGTCTTGGAACACGATCGTGGAACATCTCGTGTAAATTGGAAGAAGTCGCGTGGAGATCGTTTCACGATCTTTGTCAAATGTTTTCTCGAAAAAACGAGTGATTAAGGAAACAAATTCATTTCTATTTTTTCCGTTGATTGGAATTAGAGGAGTTAACAACGTATGACGTATATTGGTAAATTGACGATGTTTTCTTTCGAATATTTTTGAGCGAGGATCGAGAAAATGAAATTAAAAAGGATATAATCAAATTTCATATTTTGGAACAAGATGGAAATGTATAAACAATTGGTTTAATCGGTGAAATGTTCAGGTTAATGGTGAAACGATACTGTGTATCGATGCTCAGCCGTTGCCATTAAATGGGCATATTCCGTTTAAACACGTGTAATTAATATGAATATGTCGATGCTGATCGAGTTTAAACCTTAAAGGTCGTCGTCCATTTGACAGCGCCGCAATTAATCGACGTATATTCGTATTAATTACGCGTATTTTAATGAGAGAGTGCGCCCATTTAACAAAATATAGCATCGATATCGCCTTATCGCCTCGATATCGAACCAAAATATTTTCATATATATATATATATATTACTCGTGTATTTGATAAATAAGCGGTTCATTGGTGACGAACGAAATGGATCACGAAAAATTAATAGAATTAATTCGAAAACTACCACTTTTCCATTATACAAATCACGCGAAAAACGAAGGATTTTGATACGATTTTTCCAAAATCGAACGATACAATATACGTGTTCACGCGTGAAATCAATAAAATAGTCAATCTTACGTCCCTTAAAAATCAAAATTATCGGCAACAATTTGATCTTGTTTCATCCACCAACAATAGCTGCAGTTGTAGCCTCCTATTACGTGGAACGTTGCAACGCTGTTAAATGGACTGTGAATACGTCGATGCTGATCTGGTGCTGATCAAGCATAGTTGGACGACCTTTAAACGAAAAATTTCGAGAAATAATTCATCCTCGATTCGTTAATTCAAGACACTACAGCCTATGTATATCTCTGGAGCATGCCCCTCCTGCTCGAATTCTCGTTTTGCAATTCTACGCTTCCGTTCCGACATTCATCACAAAGCGACACGTGCAAATCTATCTCTCTATTTCACTCCTCCCTGTGACTCGTCGTGTGTATCCGTCTCTGTCTCTCGTTGAACCTATCGGCAAACGCGTGTAATTCTGTATGTTGTATATATTTTTTCTTTTATTTAATTGGACATAAATATAGAATCTCCGTTATCCAAATATTCTTTGGATAAACAGATTTTCTTTAACAATGAGAGATAGTATTTAATTTGAAATTATACGAACGTATACAACAATCTCGAAATATAAATAATAAATAACGTATCTTTTAGAAATTTTATTCTATTCTAGCTTTATAGATTAAAAATATTTCTTTTAAACAAGTATCCCTAATTTTACAATAAAAAAATTATTTTATTCAAAAGTGTATGGAATAATTTGAAAAAAAATCTCCCTTATTAACCTCTCATTATTTAGGCAATGGAGTATCTTCACAAAGGAAGTTACGATATAATTCACACAGGGAATAATTTTCCCCTTCCTCTGAAATATATATATATATATTCTGGTATTTGTTTTCTAACAATGTTATTTGCATACAGAGTGTGATTTCGTTCGCGATCTGGAACAGCTCGTGACACTGCGACAGGATTTATCTTCCGGTAGGGGTGGCGTGAAAAAGTGCAACGTGTGTTACGGTGTAATCATGTCGGTGGTAGGTGTATATATATATATATATATATATATGGAAAACGCGCGTTCAAAGCGCGTTAACCAGTGTCTGATATTTATCCACGTACCGCGTGTGCTGATATTAACGTTGTTTTCGTTCGTTTATTTCGGTTAATAACAACCGTGCGCGTATCCATGCGTGGTGTCTCTCGTCGCGCGCGCCAAATTAAAATCTCGCCACGAGGATCACGAGAAAGGATCGAGACAGTAATCAAATTAAACGGAATACGGCGTTTATCCGTGAAAAATGTCATTATATTTTTATATTCTCCGCTCTTAGTGAAATCGATCGATAATTTTCGATAATTTTCAAGGGGATACAATTATTATTCAGCGTTTTAAATTAAATTGTTGGGGGTTTTCTTTGGTTACATGAAAAAGTAAAGGATATCGAGAGAGCGGGTCAGACTCACGCGGTATTTTCAACCCCTTTAATGGGCCAACTTGGGTACAGTTGTTTCGATTATAACCACCCTATTCCCTCTAAAACCCGCACGACCTCAGAATTCTCATGAAGTAACCAATTCGTGCCCGTTTACTTTCGTCACTTTACATCAGTTGAAATTGAAGGAAAAAAAAAATCGATCTGATTGTGATTTTATTTGGTAAAATTGGTAAACGATAAAAAAAAGAGTTTTCTATAATTTTGGATGAAAGGGGGTGAGAGTTTCTTCGATTCTTTTTTTTTTTTCACGTTTTTCTCTTCACCGTCGAATTACAAGGAAACTTTCGACGAGATCAGTGATCCGTTTCTGATTTCTTGTCCGACTGGTTTTAAACGCTTACTACTTTCAATACATCTGTTGTAATGTTGACGTTGAGGGATCGACATTTTTTTAATTCAGGTCATTGAACTCGTTTTAAAGATTAAAACGGGGATAATTGTAATAAAGGTTTCACGATTCTTTTGTTCTCGTAATAGCTGTGTGGTTACATATATGTATATTTATAATTATGAACAAGAGCACTACAGATACTTTTTGTTCCGTACACTATAGGGGTTATTGTATACGCGTTGCTATCCTATTTACATTTAAATATTTAGATGGATTGGTTGCTGTGTAGATTTCAGATATATGCAAATAATATTTGTAGAGAATTTGTTTTATTCATTAAATATTAAATTATTGATGATATTGTATGCATTGTACACAAATAATTTATCGAAATATTTAATATTACGAACAGGGGAACAGAAGTCTTTTAATAAATCGTGAAAATAAATTTGATTCGGATTAATTTGACTGCCTGCTTGATAGCCTCGATATTAAAACGAGTGATTTATTTATACGTAATATCTCTCGTTCATTATTATAAAGGATTATTTATTTTTAAAGATATACAATTTATTTTTGCAATAATAATGTATTTTCGTTCCGGGCATAATTCGCAGTGATATCGAAGGGATGAATATTTATTTATCCAAAGTTATCTTTAAATCTTTTTTTTTCTTTTCTTTACTCTTTGGTCCTAGCGTTCTACGAACGAATAATTGAAATCCATTTTATTACTTATTCAAAGTAAGCACTCCAAGTTTCTTGTATTATTTCTACTTCTCTATTGTTATGACGCGATCGAGAACATTTCAAATCCTCGTGATTATTGTGCAATAATATCGTATCTTCTTTGAAAAATCGCAAAATAAATCAGAATAAATTCTATTGAAATACGCAAATATTTTTTACTACAGTGGGAACAAAAGCGTTCGTTAGACGAGAAAACATACAAACGAATTACAATAATTATTGCAAAATTTTATTCCAATCTTCGTTTTTATTTAAGTTTCATCTCCCTCCCCTGTTTCGCGTATCCTTTAAAATTACAAAATCCATGTATATATATCCTATATAATGTCCAAGATAATTACAAACAAATTTCACCTAATTAAAGAGACAAAAGGGTGAAAAGAGAGAAAAAAAATTTTCAAACAATTTCCGCAAACTCTCCAAAACATTCGCTCTATCTACATAGAAACATCGTATAATAATTACAAACAAAAATAATCAAACGACAAAACTCTTACATTTCTTTCAACGTAACGAACGAATAAATCAAATAATTCGGATAATTGAGGGAGGGGAGATAAGAGAGATGAATTAAAAATAATTTTCCGGGACAATACGCGAATAAAAAAAAAAACAACACTGTTTTTTTCCCCACTGATTGCTCCTTTAACCCTTTAAATCACCGAACAGCATCCTACACACACACACACACACACACACACGGCCGTCCCAAATCACCCGTGCGCCTCACAAACAAACCGAATTACTAAATCAAATTAACGCGGCCGATCGAACGTATCGGTAAACCCTCCGCATTCGACCACCCCCTCCCCTCCCCTCTCCTCTCGAGATCTACAATCCTCGGTCACCAACGGGGGATCACCATCCCCGGTAATAGAATCAAGTTCAATATGTACTTATAGATCCAAGTCAAACGCGAAAAACTCGTTGCATTTGTCGTTATAATCTAAGAAGTACCGATACACGGATCGAATATTAGAAATAAATCCAATCTCTCATAATTCTTTTCTCGTTCAATATAAGTGCATACGATCAAAACTAAAGTAATGATATTATTTTATGTGCAAGTAAGAATATTCAAAATTGTTTTTTTGGAAAATTTCCATTTGAACTGGTGTCGATCGAGTTTCCGATCTATTCGATCCCGACTTCGAACACGCTTCTTTCTTGCTCATCCACTGCTCATACTCAGAAAGTATTATTATCTCTCCTCTTCTTTCGACAGGAACCGTCCCTCCACTGCGATTCTTCATCCATTTCTTTGAGAATTTATGGGAAAAATTACAGATTCGAGTCTCAACATTGTTTCTCGAATTCGAAATCCATCTGAGAGAGAGAAAGAAAGAGAGAGAGAGAGAGGGAGAGAAAGAGAAAGAAAAAGAAAAAGAGAGAGAGAGGGAGAGAAAGAGAAAGAAAAAGAGAGAAAGAGAGAGAGAGAGAGAGAGAGAGAGAGAGA